ACATCTACTAATAAACCAGACTTTCCTTCCTTATTCATAGTGCCAAAAGATTGCAGTCTATTCTTATCTCTTCCTTGCTGGCTGTCCTACATGTATTTTCTAATATTTATTTATTTAGGATGTTAAGTTACTTGCCACACAGTAAAAATATTTGTTTTGAACAGGCTGCATAAAGGCCCCAAACCCATGATAAATGCTCTGGAAGCAGAAAAGAAGTAGTTGGGAGGAAGGAAAGGAGGCACTGCAGGAAAACTCATTTGCTGAAAAATGCAGCTTATGTCTTATCAATTTAATTCCAGATAAGTCTTCATTTTCTGTGAAGACAGATGCGATAAATATGTTAATGGCAGATTTCAGTAGTTCAGTTTGTAGAACTGCAAAGCTAGATGGAAGCGATAATTTTTCTTTCATTTTAATTTTGAAATAAAAAGCAAGAAGGCAGGAAATTTCCTGATATCGTAACACTGTAATGACTTTTTGAAGGATAATGGACTTCAGCACAGGATGACGATTAACTATCGTGTCCTGATCCTTACTTTTTATTAAATTCCAGTTTGCCCAGCCAGAATTTTCTCAGCTTTCTTGTTAAGCTGAGCAGATTACTGCCTGTGACTGACTTTTCCAGTTCCACATTCATAGAGGCATTTAGCATCAATCCTTACTTGAAGCTTGTGAGTATTTTACTGATACTAATGTTCCTCTGGCTAGATACATGCTTAAGCAGGCTACTGAAAATAGCGCTGGATGGAGCTATCCTCTCTTACTGTTTTTCTGGAGCAAGATGCTGGGGGAGAGTCCTTTTTTTTTCTCTTTTTTTTTTCTTTTTTTTTTCTTTTCCTTTTCTTTTTTAATTCATTAAGAAGCACATTTAGTGCCCCCAGGGAGTATAAACACTAAACTGTGGCCTTCCATGCATTGATTACTGTTTTCCTATTATTAACATTCACTTAGAAATATTTGGCGAGAAGTCTTCGACTGTTCAATTAAAAATAGTTTTAAAAAGACAAAACGCCAAAACTGTGGAGAGATATACATAAAGCTTCCTAAATCTGTTATTTACTACTTGAAACTCAAACTGTGTAAACTATAATTTCTTTCAATCTGTTGATCACACAGTACCTTGTCAATATTTCAGCTGAATGGGTAATTCTTATAAGCAAAAAGAAATTTAGAAAGCATTTGCTGCCTTGCATCTTTTCAGGGGGAGGAAACTGCAGGCATCAGATAGAAAGCCTGAGGAAATTTTAGGAAACACTTTTTGAATTTCTTCTGCCCACCTGGAGATACTAAGCAAAAAACTAAGTTTCTTATATTCACAGCAGTGGTTCTAACTGAGGAACTTTTGGTTTGCACATCTGGTTTGTTCTTTTAAATGAATCCTAATTTCAGAAAGGTGATGTCCTGTCTGGTTCCTCCCTGAAGATTTCTCTCCAGGCAAGTGAGCGAGTGCCCCACATTTCAAATCACTAGCATTAACTACTAGGATTTTATCAGGTTATTCTCATTCTCTAGCTAAGCTCACCATTCAGAATCTGACTGACTTTAACTATTTAATTCAAAATGGCATTTAGAACCCCCTGAGGACTTCATTCCAATGGCTCAAGTGAAGAAACGTGGATTTTCTCTGAGTGCTTGTATCCCAGGATTTTCCATTCAACAAAGGGTACCATTGTTTTGTCAGTGCTGTCCTCAGCTGGGGGTACAGAACTAATACAGTTTGAAGAGGTGGATAGAGATGATATTGTTCATGAGATATAGTTTAATTATTCTGAAATGTCAGATTCATTCCAGATGCCTATCATTGTATTTCATTTATTTGGTTTGCATGGATTTGGGGGTTGGGGGGAGGAGGGGAGGGAGGGAGGGTGTGGCACAAGCTTCTTTCTTCATTCAATTAAAAACTAATACAAAACTTCAAACATATGTGTGTTGAATGTTTTTTTAACCAAATAGAATGAATGATAAGGTGAGAGGAAAAGCTAAAGTCTGCATGGCCTTGTGGAGGTGAGAGAAGGGATCCCCAGGCTCTGGAAGAGAAAGCTGTGTCAGCAGGAGCTGAGCCAAATTAATTAGCCTTGTGAGGAGCCTAGGCATAGGGCTTGGTTAATGCAGCTACGTTATTTTTGTCTCTGGACTTTGCTGAACTGTGCAAACCTGTCTCTGTAGTACTGCACCTTGCACACATAGGCTGTTCTTGCACTCATCGGAGGTTCCAGTCCATACTGGCTGCTGATTTCATACAATTCAGTGACTAAAATGGCAAAAAGAACACAGGGAAACACAGTTCTGTTTCTGGCCCTAGTATTCTCTTTACCAAGGTCAGGGAGCAGCAGGCAAAGACAGTTGGAGCCTCTCTGCCCTCACAGTCTTGCTGGAATAGCTAATCGGTGTTCAAAGCATAAGCCATAACTAGAGGTAACCTGCTCTGGCAGAGCATCCTCCACTACTGGCATAGAACAGCCATATCTTAGACTTCTTTGGACTCGTGCTGCAGCAGCATTTAATCCTGGAGCACCAGGCTCCCAGCAACTTGGTAAGGAACTGACCACCACCCTCCAGCATGCAGCCGGGCAGGGACATGCTTGTAGAAGAGTGGCAATTCATGTAGCATTAAAGCTTATTCTAGGCTGTCACCTTGTCAGGGTTAAGTTCAGCTCATTAAAACATTTGCCTGTTATTTATGCAAATAAGCCTATGCAGAGTCACAAAATATGCAAAGTGAGCTATTTATCAGTTTGGCACAATCTCTAACTTTCTGAGACCTCAGACATCCCTGCTAGATTTAGAAGAAAATGAAGTCTCTGTACTGCTGTTTCTGGCAGAGAGGCCAAGGCAAAGCCTATCAGCTACAATCCACATCCTCTCAGAGGACTTGCTGTGCTTGGGATAGAACAGATAACGTGTTCTGTGAGACTTTAAACCTATTGCATTAACTTTCACGATGTTTAATCTTATGAATAAGGGAACTCTACTTGTTTTGTCTTTGCAGGGAAGGAGATTTATGAATCTGCATAATTCAAATAATTCTAACTGCAATTTATTATTTATTTATAACTAGCATGTGACAAAAAAGATGTCCTCTGGCGCAGTCTGCTTACACGTGCCTCTTTGCCAGATCAGCAGCAGTATAAGGTCACTCTCATTCATGAATGTGCAAAGGAACCTCAGCTCATCCCTCTCCTGTCCTTAATGCTCTCTCCTCACTTCAGAAAAAATACTTTTACTGCACAAGTCTGGTTCAACAACCAAGCCAAGCCACCAGTCACAGCAGGAATCCTCATTACCATACAGGTCAACCAGACACATTGTATTTATGGAATTCTTCCTCTGTTCAGCATCCCAAACCAGTGCCAGGCTGAAGACTTCTCTGTTAATTCCAGGGTTCATCCTATCTGTCCTCCCTAGCATAGTAGAATGGTTTATTTAAGCTGCTGCAAGTGTCGGTGCGCACCATTTTTTTCCTGTATTACTCTTATCCAAGGGACTCATTCTCATTCTTCATTTCTTCTATGCTCTGTTGCAACTAGCTCCCAGAACTTCTGTGGAGCTGGTGACCTGTATGTGGTCCTGGAATTGACACTAAGGAGAGGGACACTTCCAGCAAGGAAGGATGAGAACTCACTTAAGATCTGCTTCCATGGTGGCTACAGCTGGGCCTTAGTTTGGTAGCAATACAAAAAATAACTTTCCCTGAGCCCACCCCAAATGCAATGCCATGAGTTCTATTGCATTTAAAGTGCAGCACAATTGCTCTGCAGTCTCATACTGAGGCCTCATCAGAGTTCTGAAAGGATTTCTAGAGTACAGTCTTCTTTCCCTGTAGGGAATTTGCATTTACAGATGGAAGAGAGAAACTGATAGACATTACATATCTACTGGACAGTCCCTTGTTGAAATCCATCAACCTGTCTTTCCTTAATTCTTTCAATATTCAAGAAAACTGATGGGTTGGCAAGCAGCTGAACACCCATCTACCTGTTCATTCACTCCCATTCTGATGTTAGGATAAGGAAGAGAAAAAGAGAGAAAATTCTTGGGTAGACAAAAAAACAATTTAAATAGTAAAGGAAAAAGGAAGAAAAAAAAGTGATGTTGCTCACCACTTTCCACAAGAAGAAAGATGGCTTCCCACTTTCTGTTCTATGGCCACTCTCCCAGAGCAGTCACTCCTATCTTTTTTATGGCTGAGCATGACACAGATTATTCTTTTGGTCACTTCATGTCATCCGTCCCAGCCTCTAGGCCACCTCTTGGCCTTCTTGCTTGGAGGACAGAGCAGAAAAAAGAGAAAGCCCAGTTGCTATGCATATACTACTCAGCAACAGCCTAAACACCGATGAGTTACCAACACTATTTTAGTCACAAGTTCAAAACACAGCATCTCACAGGCTGCTATGAAGAAAATAATTTCCATCTCAGCCAGACTCAGCACAAAAATTAATGACCAAATGCATTGGCTTAGGTTAATCACTAAGAAAATTGTCCTAGAAGGGGTACTTAACTTTCTTAACGTCGAGGGCTTTTCTGAAAGTGTTGCCCTTTTTATTCCAGATCTATTTGCCACTTGGGTAAGTGCAAAAATATGCAGTTAAAAAGATCCATACAGCCTGACTTTCTGTGAATTTGATTCTGCTGTTTCCAGCTGAGCAAAATTCTCTTGATATATATAATGAAAACATATGTTACCCCTTAATAAATGTATGAATATAACCACTTTATGTCTCTCCATTCACTTTTGCATTGCTGCAATTAAGGATTGTCTGTCTAAAATTATAAGGCCAAGCTTTCTGCTGTGAGTCAGCATGGTTCTGTTGTTTTTCATGGATCAGTTAACACACAGTGGAGATTTTAAACATTGTTGTCTATAATGGCTAATTTGCCTATTATAAGGAACGGAGAGCCATCTGTGTACAACACCACAAGGATGGTGTGTAGTGGAGACTATAAATGACCTATGTTTGTAAGAGATTCAAAAACACAGACATGGCACAATATTTTACCTTTGGAGCCTGTAGTACATCAGATACATCTTGCTCAGAAACTGCAAAAACAGGTTGTTGCACAAGTGTTGCTGGCTTTTTGGGAGGTCGAGGGGGTGGAAGTACAGTTTGGTTTTCGTATCTTCGTACCATATAGTATTGCTCTTCACTGATCTCTTCCACTGTTGTCCTAGTCATGGGAGGTACAACTGTCTGGACATCTTTGCTGAGTAAATGAACCAACATGTTTAAGCGATACACAGGAATTTCCCAGCTCTCTATTGGACTGCTGGCACTACTGATCAGCAAATAAGAGTCTGTGATTTCTTCTTCAAGCTGCAGACCAGGCACAGCAGCCAAGACATCCTCTTTCATGGAAAGATCCCTCACAGACACTTTGACATTAAACGGCAAACGAAATTCTTCGCAAATCTCAGAAAGCTGGTACTGCTTCTTGTCATGAATCACTTCCACAAAGCCACCTTCCATGTACATAGGGAGAAGAACTTTCTTGTATGCATTACTTAGTATTTGTTCACAAGCTAAAACATCTATGACTTTCTTTCTTCCTTCATAAAGAACTTCACTAGTCTGACACTGCCGAACTAGAAACTGATCTCCAACTGAAACTGAAAAAAGCTCTGTATGAGGAGAATCAAAGGCTTTAGTTGCTACAACATGAAGCTGTTCCCTTTCACTTCTCGCTATCTCTAAGTCATAGGCAGTTGGAAACTCCCGAGGTCTTCTCTTGAACTTTCCTTTATAGGTCATAGGAATTAAAAAATGTCTTTTGGAGGAATCACTTCTGATCTCAGAGGCTATAATTCTTGTAGCCTGGTACTTTTTATAGATGACAATCTCTTTCCCTGTATGCAATAAGTTATAAGGTTTCTGGCTTCCTAAAAGTCCGTCCATTATCTCAGCAATCATGGGAAATTCCTTGCTTGTTCTCTCGAATACATCTTCCAAAGACAGTGGCTGAAGGAAAGAGGAAGCATCGTAACAGTCTGTTATATCCTTGACCTCGACATCTAGATCAGAGAGGATATGAACTATGTCCTTACGAACTGAAAAGAAAAAGAAAAATATTTGGTTTTGTCTTCAAATTGATATAAAACTAAAATACTCATGCCCTGTTGGCCAAATATGAAATGTACCTTTCCTGAGATGTGCGACTGTACAACTGGTAGGCTAGTCATAGTCTTACTGTTTTAATTTGAGATATATGGTTAGCAGATATGCAGAAGACCTCACAAAGGAAATGAGAATAAGGTATTTCTGAGACAAATTAAACATACTTACATATTTTTAATAAGGAAAGCACTGATAATTATTAAAAATTAATGTAACTTTCCCTAAAAAGGCAAGATCTTTGTATAATGAAATTTATTCATTATTACTAGAGAAAGAGGAAGTTTCAACTATAGAGGTCCACTTGTGGAATCTTTTCTTAAGGTGCCTGGTTATGTTCACAGTTAGAACTGAGCTATTGCCTTTAGCAATCTGACAAGGAGCAACAGCAATTCTAACCAAACTTGCAAAATTTTGGATGTAAAATTTCAAACTATATAGGATGACTGTGCAACTAAGATTTGTTAAGAATTTATCTCCAGGTCAGTGATACCAGAGGTCACTAACAAAAGCAGTAAAATTTAACACGTAAATATTATTTAATGACTCTTTATTAAAATTCACTCTGCAGAGACTTTCACACAGGTATACTATACACATACCTCCTTCTAATATGGAGTGTCAATATTTCATGCCTTAAAAATGGTATCAGACATATATTTTACGTAATTACTTCTATGAAAGTAATTCAGGATCTGCCTACTCCCACTCTGCTTTTGTCACATTAACACCTTCAGGTGAAACAATCCTAACCACATCATGTGAAAATCAAGAAATGTGAAAAAATTAGTGAAAATGAACATTCTCTATGAACAACTAAGAGAGGTCCAGACACAACATTTTGTTATTGAGACTGAGAAGTACAGGGGATTCCTGACCATAGCCTGTGAAAATCTAATCAGATACCTCTCTTATCAGGGGTCCTTTTTATTTAACTGTGATTAGTATTTCGCATACTTCATCTTGCATCTCTCTATAGTTATTCTAAAATTGGTGAAAATTCATTTTTCATTGTCTACAAAAAAGTAGTTAATAATGCACCATAAAACCTAATTTTCAAGTTGTACTAAATTGTTATTTAGGGCTCATTTAATGCTTCTTAAATGTAGAGAACACTATGAAACATAAATAAGTAAACAAAATCAACAAAAAAAAACCCCTCACTAGAAATATCTGTTTGGAAAATGAGTGGATACTACATACTTCTGAATCTTTTAAAAGTTGTTTAGAAACATAACTTTTTTACTAACACTTCTTATCCATCTATATGGTCATAAGAATATACTGAAGTGAATCCAGATTCAGGACTAGGATTAGATCTCTGAATATAGTTGGATCTGTAGAAAACTTTTTGTCTTTTCATATTATCTAGTGAAGATATACTTTCCAAACTCACATTTTAAATCACATAGCAAGAAGAGTGGAATATCTCATGAAAAGCATTAAGCAGCTATGGTATATTGTGCTAAAAGTCTCTGCTTGCTTTTATTTCTCTTGTGTATTTTATCTCCTAACTTATACCATCACCCAGAGGAATTTCCATAGTAAAAATCTCTTCCTTATTTTCTTCCTGAATGACATATTTCTCTCAGGATTTCATTTCTACAAAGTGCTTTCTGATGTGCTTCCAGTAAAAGCAACAGACAGCAAAGCTTTCCAAAAGCTAAGCTACTATCCTGCAAACTTTAACACTGTGGATGAATCATCAAGATGAACTGCAGCCAGTCTGCACCTATTACCTTTGCTGTCCTCAAGCAAAATCAAGTATTTTTGCATAAGCTGCTGCTTTTGATTTTTTCTGTTTTTTTTTTTTTTTTTTTTTTTTTTTTTTTTTAATTAGGAAGGAACTTTAGTCAGTTCATTGTATAAGAACACAAGTCGTTGCTGCAGCTCAGCTATTCAATCCACCATAAAATAGGAATATTTCACTGTGTACTTATGCCCTTGCACAACTTCTATCTTCAGTTCAAAGTAATGCATAGGTATAAACATTAGTAAGAACAGAAACAACTAGTTTCAGCTTTTTGTTAGAACTAGAACAGTATATAATTACAAAGTGAAAAAAACAACCCTTCCCTTCCCTTCCCTTCCCTTCCCTTCCCTTCCCTTCCCTTCCCTTCCCTTCCCTTCCCTTCCCTTCCCTTCCCATCCAGGCTGGCCTTGAATGCCTACAGAGATCTGGTGACTTCTCCATGGCCAAAGAGATACAAAGAAAGAGGATCTCAGAACTGAACTGAACTCTTAAGCTTTGCTTTTTCATTATGTAGTATATCTCCTTTTGAAAGATTATTTAATTTTAGTGATAAGTAAAATGACAACAGAAAGTAATACTAGGAAACTATCTGTATTAATATCTGACAGGGAAATACAGATGGCAATACTATGTTTATCTTTCTGCAATTTGGAATAAGCATCACTGGTAAAGATGCCCCAGGAATTCTTGACCAAACATAATTCTTTCCTGAGCAACTTGTATGAATTTAAGGGTGCCACATCATACAGAGTAAATAATTATTTGACCTTAATTCCTACTTACATTTCATTACTGCCTGCACTTCATAGACAGGCATGAGAACCAAGTAGCCACCAAAATTCTCAGGAAGTGGATTAGAGGAGTTCCACATATGTAAAGTGTTGGAAAGTTTGACAATCCGGCTTCTGCACTTAGGGATTTTCCATTCTGCAATCTCTTTTAGGGTGTATATCTGGTCATCTTCACACTCGTAGAATTTTCCTTTTTGTGATAGGGGCAAAATAAAGGTATGAGACCGGTTGTTTCTGACCATAACACAGCTCACAGCCATTGTTCCATTGATCTCTTCCACAGAATTGAAGGTGATCTGCTCACCCTGTTTGATAGTGAGGTTTGCCAGTTTTATATCCTCAGGGCTGTAGAAACACGGATGGCCAAATCTCGTTGGCCCAATAGCAACTTTTCTTGTAATTTCTTCAACGCTGACATATGGTGTTTTGTCTGCCACAATCTTATAAAGACCTAAGAACAGAAAAGATGCATTATAAGAAGGAAAATGTACAAAGCAAGACGAGACAAATCATAGAATCAAAACCCACACAGTTTGGAAAGGACCTCTAGAGGTCATCTAATCCAACTGCCTGCTAAAACATGCTCCCTAAAATAGGTTACACAGAAAAGCATGCAAGCTGTTTTGAATACCTCCATAGGAAACACTACAGCTTCTGTGGGCAGCTTGTTCCAGTGCAATGTCACCCTCAAAGTAAAGATTGTTTTTTTTCTCATATTCATATAGAAATTCCTACACTCTAGTTTGTGCTCCTTGTTCTGTTGTTGGACACAGCCAAGAAAAGCCTGGCCCCATCCACTTGACTCTCACTCATTAGATATTTTTAAGGATTGATAAGATCCCTGATCATATCTGTGTCATGATTTCAGCCATGATGATTGTTTTCTTCATTATGGCCATTATGGTGCCATGTTTTTGATTTATAATGAGAATAATGATGATAACACACCAATGTTTTAGTTGTTGCTGAGCAGTGCTATACAGAGCAAAGAATGTTTCAATTTTTCAGCTTCTTGTGCTGTTCTGCCAAAGAGGGTGCTAGGGGGGCAGAAGGAGCTGAGTGCGGACAGAAAAAGAACAGCTGACCTAGCCTGGCCAAGGGCATATTCCATGCCATATGGCATCTTGTGTAAAAACTTTAAAACTCAGAGAAGTTGGTCGGGTGTGGTAGCTTCTTCTTAGGGACTGGCTTGGTATCAGTAGGTGGGTGGTGATCAATCACATTGTTCTTCACTTGTTTCATGTATTCTTTTATTATTATTATTATTATTATTATTATTATTATTATTATTATTATTATTTTCTTTCCTTTTTGTCATATTAAACATTCTTTGTCTCAATTCATGAGTCATACATTTTTTTCTGCTTCTGTACCCCATGTCACTGCAGAGGAGTGAGCGAGACGCTGTGAGGGGCTGAGCTGCTGCTAGGTTAAACCACAACAAGCAGACACTTCAGTTGCTAGAAATGTAATTGCATAAAGATAATATCAACCACGTGATACAAAGAATAGATAGATGGAATTAACCCGTTCTACTCTACAGCTACACTTCTGACATCCAGCGTTTTTATGTCTGTGATTAAAAAAAAAAGAAGAATAGTTTTTGCTACAGAAAAACAACACAAACAAAAAACAAACATACAAAAAAACCCAAACAAACAAACAAACAAAACCCTCATGTTCTCTTAAAGTCTTATCTCTTTCCTCAGGAAACCAGACCTTAAGAAAAAAATGCAGACATGATATGAGAAAGAGTGACAGTAATGTGATCAGTGAGACAAAGGGTGAATTTTCTCCCTAAACATCAGTACAACACATCTTTCTACATGCAGACTGGGAATTCCAAGAATGAGCATGTTTGAAGATAAGAATGAGAAAAAGAACTTGATCTTAGCATCTCTGATAGACCAGACCATCAGATGGAGTGCTTCACAGTTTGGATACTGTGGCCATAGCAATGCAATTAAGGTGCTGAAATACTGTACTGTAAGGCAGAAGCTGCATCTGAGCCTCCCTAGCCCCTGGGGCCATTATTATTTCATGTTAGTCATGGCCCTTGGAGCTGTCTCATTAGGAGTTCACATCACAAGAAAAATGTGTACATTTCTATATTTGTGTGAGAGTTTTCACAGAGGAAGATGAAGTAGACAGTTTAAAGGACTAAACAGTAGGGTTTAGCTGAGCTATGTGATTAAGCTATCCTCTTCCCAAGATGCAGCAGTGTGAATACTGCCTCATAGAATCGCATTACATTTTTTATGTTCTAGCCACAGCTACACTGACAGTGAAGCCAACCTCCCATGTCAATGCAGCACATTTTCCCTACATCCCTACAAAGAAATTCCATGGTCTTGTTATTAACTTCTTTTGCATCCTCCAGACCATACAAAGGGTATCATGCCCTTTGAGTAAAGGAATTCTCCCATCTTTGCAGTTATGAAGGAGGAATGGGATGCAGACTCAAGGAATGTTGCTTGGCACAACTGGAGGCACTTTCTCACCAGTTCTACATCTCATGAGTGGTTCACGCTATATCTAAAAAGTTTTAAGTGTTCTATTTGCTGGCTACGACTCCCTTTCTGCTGGTGATCAGAGCGAGAAGATGGGCAGGATGCCACAGCAGGTGCCCAAATCTCAGTCAGGTGTGATGCTGTAGGACTCAGTTCCTACTAGCTGCTGAGAAGATACTCATTCACATCATCACTAAACCCCTCTCAAGGGATTTGCTTTGGTTAAAAATTGTTCTTTTCCTCCCACACCTTTTCCATTACTGAGCTTCACCCTGAATATGCAATCAACACAATTCAGGGGCCTGGAGCAAAGCAGGGGATCCTCAGGATTTCAGTCTTTAGAAAGGATTTATCAAATCATTCCCTAGATAATCTTTTTCTTTCTTTCTTTCTTTCTTTTTTTTCTACGTTTTTCCCACAGAAACTCTGAGATTCTTGTCTCACTCTAACAAGAACTGCTACATTCATTTCATAGCTTTAGTGCACTTCTTTTTAGGTACTTTAAGGACACAAAGTTTCTGTCTGTTTTCACAGGTTTTATCACCAGATTGGGCGTGTTCAGTTCTAGGTACTCCATGAGATCACTAGTAGCTGTGGCAACTAACAGCTCTGAGCACTTGTCAGCAGCCGAAACAGCAGCAGCCTGTTTGATTTACTGCAGAAATAAGTCACTAATTCTGCCCATGCTGTCTGCGATTCTGTGCCTTCACACTTGCCTATGTGACAGTCAGCTTTTTCTGTGTGAAATCAGTACATTAATGCACATACATCTTCTGTGTCTGTCCTCACTGCAGCACTGTGGGAAAGTCTCATGACTTTTTTTCCAAGCTGCAAGGAAGCCACATCCATGAATGTAACTGCACAGGTAAAACTGCAGCACACACTATTTTTCTCACTACTATTTTTAGTGCTTCCAACAGATGATTTTAACAGTTATTAGCAAGCAAGTTAGCCACTGCAAACATAATCACTACTGGAGCTGTCAGTGTAGATCAAGACAAACTGGTTCATCAGCATTTAGAAAATATCACAGTGACAAGGCACCAATGACAGTCTGAAACTGTGGACAAGACAGCATCCCCAAACACTGTTCCCGTGTCATGCACTGCAAGCACAGAAAGGAAGGACATCATCTCTTGGCAATGCTTGGAGAAAAGAAATAGGAATATTCTTCATTAAAAATGTATTCAAACAACATGTGATGTATCCCAAAGGCAATAACTATGTTTACAAATTTGTAATATAGGTGCACATGAAATGCCCCTAAAAAACCTCCAGAATCACATTTAGAAGGATCCATAAACTATGTTAAAAAACATTTCCAATTGATAATATATGGCAATGCACAGTCACAAGAAACTTACTTCTCCTCTATGAAGTTGACACCCTTGGGATCTAGGAATTTCCCTGGGATTGCAGAGCTATTTGGAAGCCAGTTTTTTTTCAGCAACAAACTGGTGACCATCATGGGTTGGAAAGCAGGTTTTGTATAGAAGCATAATTGTCAACTCTCACACAAAACCAGACAACAGATTATCCCCTCGAGCCCAGGCAGACTGAATTTGTCAGGGCTGGAAGCAGAAAAATATTCATATTCCATTCTGCTTGTTTTCTTAATTTCAATAACAGAATGTTTGCATAGAAAACTAAAGGACCATGTGGACTTGCATTCTTAGTTTTTGTATTGATGAGACCCTTGAATTATAGGCCCCTAATAGCCACCTGTTTATGTTTATAAGTATGTAAAGTTCCATATGTTTTTCTCTCTGTAGGGAGGAGGTGGATAAATAAAAATTTACTCTAGTATGATGGGGGAAAACAACTGCAACTCCTAATTAATTGCCATAATTTGCCACGGTGCTTTCTCATAAATGCTCTCCTAGCCATGGCGTGTTTATTTGTTCTTCATGTGGAAATGTGTTTTTAAAAATGCTATCTGGAACTATTCAGAATCTCATTAAAATCATTATGAGTCAAATTACAAAAACAACTGTTCTCCTAACACTAGATAGCAAGGAATTCTCCAGAGTAAAGAGACATATGGCAAATTTGAAATACTAAAGTTTGGACATTTTGAGATAAAAATAAATAAATTATTCTTTCATAAATCATAAAATGACTGAATCATTTGGACTTGGACCTTGGACTTTCACGAGAGTACTTGGTGGAATTTTAGGGGGAATAGCAGAGTCAGTCAGGAAAAAAAATCCAGCAGGTTTACTGAGAGCTGACATTCTTGCTCATATTGATCTATTTTTTAAATAATTTGGGCTATGATCAAACACACAGATCTACTGGTCTACATCAACATTCTGCAAGTGTCAATGAATGTCAATGGGTATCATTTTTCTACATGGAGGAATTCAAGTCCACATATTTACTTCACATGCATGTCCAGGTCAGATGTCATTTTGTAAATTTACCTGTCTGCTGCCATCTGTCACATGGCAAAAATAAATGCAACAGAATATTTGTGGGAAGGTTCAACCTCTACTGCCATACCACTGACATCCTCCTCTGACAGTGTGGGCCTACATAATAAAATAGGAGGCATTACTTTTGGAGCAGCCCTCATTCATAGTAATTAGTGGAATTTATAGGCATTGTTACTCTTCAACAATCCATATCAGCTAGTGAAATGCCTGCCTAGTTATCATTTCAGAATTAAGCCCTAAATCTGTACACCCTGTAACTTAAAAGAAATGTTTTAGCTAATGGCGTACATGTTGATAGAAGAAGAGGGTTTTAGAGTCAGAGAAAATAATTTTTACTGGTATGGGAGAGAAAAGAAGGCCCATGAATCATTCATTTCATCCTGTGGAAAAGCATGTTTATATAGAAGGATGTTTTTCCACATTTCTATGGAACAATATACTCAGCTCCCTTTTACTAGCAATACAGTGTACCTCTGTGAAGTTTTACACACTCCGTTTCCAGCCTTAATAAGAGTTCTGAAGAAAAGGAGCATCCATTCTATTCTCTTTTTCTTCTTTGTCCAACAGATTACTGAGGTAATCAGTCTCACCTACTAGAGCAGCAAATAGTCTTCAAGTTAAAAATAACAGAAGGACCTTCTGTCCTAGACTAGAATCATAGAATTCTTATGGTTGGAAGGGACATTTAAAGGCCATCTGGTCCAATGCCCCTACAATGAACAGGGCCATACACAAGTAGATCAGGGCGCCCAGGGTCTGATTCAGCCTCACTTTGAAAGTCTCCAGGGACAGGGCATCGACCACATCTCTAGGCAACGTGTTTCAGTGCCTCAGCACCTTCACTTTTCCTTGTATCCAACCTAAACCTATTCTCTTTAAGCTTGAAACCACTTCCCCTTGTTCTGTCACCACAGACCCTGCTAAAGAGTCTGTCCCCTTCTTTCTTGTAGCACCCCCTTTAGATACAGAAAGGTTGTTACTGGGTCATCTAGCAGCCTTCTCTTCTCCAGGCTGAACAGTCCCAGCTCCCTTAGCCTATCCTCATAGGACAGGTGTTCAACCCTTGGATCATTTTTGCAGCCATCCTCTGGATGTTTTCCAACAGATCTGTGTCCCTCCTATACTGAGAACTCCACACCTGGATGCAGTACCTCAGGTGAAGCCTCACCAGCACAGAGCAGAGGGGCAGCATCACCACCCTCAATCTGCTTGCCACACTTCTTTAGATGCAGCCCATGATGAGCTGTGAGGGCACATTGCTGGCTCATGTCCAGCTTCCCATCTACCAGTATGTCCAGATCTTTTTGTGCAGGGCTGCGCTCAATCCTTTCATTACCCAACTTGTATTGAGGATTGTCTCAATCCCAGTGCAAGATCTTACATTTGGATTTATTGAACATCATGAGGTTCACCTGGGCCCACTGCTCAAGCCTATCTAGCTTGCTCTGGTTGGCATTCTGTCCCTCTTGTATGCCAACTGCACCCCACTGCTTGTAGTAGTTTCCATTCCCCAAAGTAATGTAGAAGAATGAAATCAACTTAGTTCCTGACTCCTCTGGAGCTGATTTGATTGCCATTCTTCCACCACCCACACTTCTTCCTCCTTTGTTCCATGTGCTGCAGCATCTTTTTCTCATTGTGTCTCAAAGTCAAACTCTCTACTACCATCCCTCATCTCCTGCTGCTTATTTCACTTCTGAAGCTGACGGGATTTTCCTCTGTATCATTTTCCCAGTCTGTGCCACTGATGATCACAATAATATTTTCATCAGATCACCAGAGCTCAAACTTGGCATCGCCACTGGAGAGCCATGTGTCTGTGACCTCCTTGGCATGGAAGCTCAAGGACTGATTTTCTGATCACTTCTGTTTTGCAGGGTGTTCACTCTGATACATGGAAGTCTTTCAGACTGACAGCTCTTTAACTCCTACCAAGGTGAGTCTTACTGTGCCCAGTCCCAGCTCTTGCATGCATGTATGGCCACAGGCAAGTCTCCTGCCTCATGGTTAGCAAAGGCTGAGAGCTCAAAGGGATGGTTGTGCTCAGCTACATCTGTCAGGTCCTGTAGGAATGAGCAGCGACAGCTGTCAGAGACATCTTGAGAACAGGGACAGACAAATAATATTTTTGCAGAAAAGGAAATTTAACAGAACAGAATGAAATCATTTGTGCTGGCACACTGTTCAGATGTTGTGTAAATTACCTGTCTCTGCTAACTTGTTAGCAGTGAAAATTGTAGTTCAAAATGCTGGTATATATAGCCATCAAAATGCCTAGAGTAGCAGCAGATTTCTTTTTGGTCCAATGTATGAACACAGAAAGAACAGCCTGGCCCTCTGAGGCATGAAGATGAACAAATTAGAATGAGGATAAAATGAAATAACACGGATAGTGAACTCGCAGTTGCAGTGGTCTCGCTAATGCAAAGGCCAGATAAGGCCTTTATCAAGAATCTGATTTGCCAGAGCAGAAAAAAAGATTTCTATAGGTTGCAACCACATTCAGAAAGACAAAGAGGAAGGCTCACTTCGAGTGAATGAGCCCAGTATTTCTCTCAGAGAGATCATCCCCAGAGTCACCTAAACAGACAAGTGGCTTGCTTATGTCAGCACGCATACAGTGAAAGCGTAGATGGGATCATCACGTGCAAATGACAACTTTTAACAGAAGTGGAAAATAACATCAAAAAAGTTTTCTTTTCATCAGTACTAGCAAGAAAGCCCTGCAAGGGCAATGGGAATACAGTGACAGTCTAGAGACTTGTAGATATTTTCACAGAAGAAAATCAACAGCAGTGTGAAAAATATCATCAGCAATTTGGTTCTGTTCTTCATTGTAGAGACGTGACAAGCCAGCAAAATTGTTAGACTAGTTTCATCTGTTTGGATCAAGATTTAGGTTTTCAGACCCAAATTATCAAGTCCAACTGTTTCACTGAGAACATAATGTGTATACATAATAAAATGTGTACATTTCCCAGAAAATTAGTCAGGAGATATAAATATAAATTGTAGGTAGGTATTTGACTAAATTTAAAAATGTTCTCAACAGGGCTACAATATCCAAATGCCAAGTTGTAAAACTGATCACTTGAGTGCAAGCAAATCCAGACTCACCAAATTCAATTACTCGAAATCATAAGTAATTCTGTTCTAAAAATCACGAGATTCAACGTTAATAAATGTAGGATTACTTTTAATGCTTAGTTGTGCTGGATGTTTTAGGATTCAGATGTTCAACTCCATCTGTCAATCAAGATACAGACTACAGCTTACTACATGTAGGTATATTTTAGAGATAATAGAAGAAATTTTAATAATAGCTAAGAAGATTGGAATTCAAGAAAAATACTAGTATCTTGAGAGTTCACAGTACTTCAATATCTCTAGATAGCCACAAATAATTAAAATGTCTTTGATCACTACTTTTGGGCCCTATCAGTGCTTGAAAATGACATTTCAAAAAAGTCTTTTAATAAGTGGTCATACAAATGGTTCTCATTCACCAAATAAAAAAAAAAAACAAAACATGAAAGCACATTGAGAATCCACTAGGGAAAAGAACATTATATGTAGGACTACTTCAGAGAGAAATCTGTATTTCAGAGATGGAAAATGAAGGCATGGAAGAAGATATTTTCCCATATAATTCAGATGAAACATTGCTTTTCTATGTGCTTTTGCATTTTTATTTGCTAAGGAAACGTGCCTTGTCTCCCTCTGAAGAAAAAGCACACTCCATTCCGGGGGCTGGTATAACCTGAACATTTGTGCCTGCACACGTTCTTACATGCACTGTGATGCATAGAAAAACACCAGTGGTGTTACCAAGTCAAGAACTCAATCTACTGCTCCTAGGTTCACCATTTTTCAGTCAGTTTCTCAACCTGGTTTGCCTCCTCCACTTCCCACATGCATAAACTCACAGTGTTTCCTCCTCTGCATTTCAGTCACTCCTCTACTTAGCACAGCCAGGCCCTAAAAAGCAGATGAAAATGAGATGTGGTACGTAGCCACCTCTCCCTAACAAGACTACATGGTCAGAGGATGATATTTTTAACTAAAATATTAAGCCAGCATCAGATGCAAAGCGTCAAGTCCAAGTTCAAACAGGTGGGTATTTTGTGACATCCCCATAGAACTGTCTGGTTTCCTCTGTTCTAGTTTCCAGGCACAAAGCAGCCACTTTGGCCACAGGAATTAAAATAAATGATTAAATTAAAACAAAACATAAGAAAATATTTGAAGTCTTTTCTGCTCAGAATGGTAATGATATACTAACACCAATTAAATTATGTTCTGCATATATGGCAAAAAAAAAGCTCAAAATTCAACAGTCACAAAAAACTGAATGGACGTCTTTATAAGAATTCTTACACTGAGCGACCTCAAATATAGAGATCATTTCTGAACATTATAACATGAATAATTTCTATCCAGATTTAAAAGAGAACTATAGGAATTGAAATTTAAAAACGAATGGGCCATGTTTTGTGCCATCTGATAAACTTGTATCATTGACAGCTGAGACGAAAGCTCAAACAAATATCAGTGAAGACAGTAAATAAATTTTTTTAAAAATGTGATTATAATTCCTCAAAAACATGTATTCATGAAATACTATACCAGGAAAACTTAGTGGTAATTCCACTTTGGCAGAAAACTGGCTGTCTTCATTATTCTCACAAACACTTGCTATGAGCTTATTAATTTTGAAGCCAATAACTTTAATCACTTCTCCTGTTGACAGGCAGCATTCATTTCCAAACATTTCATAGATGGAACCTGAAAAGAAAAATAAAAGAAAAAGGTTCAGCTTTTTCCCACTTTTTCAAGTATCTTTATCTCTTCATATAAAAGAAAAAAAATACTGAAATTATATGAAATATACTTATCCTGCAATAATTAATCTAATCTTTACTTTCTTTCTTAGGTTCATAAGAAAATTCATCTTGAGACTTCAGTCTTTCTAGGTCAGCCCTGTGTATGCAGTGTCCTTAGATGAGAGAAAAGACTTCAAAGATCCCCTGTTTCAAAGTTGTAAAACTGAAATGTAATGAAGCTGAGCCCAGGATCACCTGGGTCATCAGGAGCTGCCACACAAAATCAGCAGGTGGTGGATCTCGGGCAGACAATGTGCCTCTGCACAGCACAGGGCATAGCACAACCCATAGAAAATAATAGTTTACAACAAAATACAAATACTACAGACCCTACAGGGTGTCCAGGGAGAGACTGGGAGACAGTAAAGCACAATCTACAAATGATATTCCTACAGCTACAGGAAATCTGAAGAAAGAACTAAGAAAATTTGAAGTCTGATATGCTAACAATGATAATCATCGCCACACAGTGAAAAAAAACAACTATTGTTTCTGACCTGAAAGAAAAAAGAAATCACTTTTTTGTCTACGATGTTCAGAAGTTTGAGTGCTGGAACAGAGCAATCCAACCAAGCATTTCAGAACTTCCCTGGCACAAACTGGAAGTGCAGTTTGACCTTCCTTTTCCATTCAAGCTATGTCCATCTCTGGTGTTTCGTAAGTGTGTACATGTCAGAGTGGAATGATAAAGCAAATGAGTAACAAAAGCCAAGTTATGCAGAAGAAGGATTTTTTTTTTCCTTGTCCCTGCAGGAGATTAGCAAAAGCTTTGAGGCATGGAATTAATTAATTATATATACAGTGCAGCAAACACATAGTGATTAAGTCTTCTTTGAGTTCCATTTGTAGATAGTATTACTTTGAACACAAAAATCCTCTTGTCAGAAATGTTGAATTTAACACTAGCTTCCATTCTTCTGATGCAGTGTAGTTCCTACCATGATTTTATCAAGCTCTATCCTGAATTGATATGGAAGTGCCGTGCTTAGAATCCTTCCTCAGAGTTTCATTTCTCTCATGGTGAGAAACCTTATTCTCATTTCCATTCATTTTTTTGGTGACTGTTGTTCCTTCCTGTTACTGACATTGCTCCATTATTTAAAATGTTTCTTTTTTACTCATTTCCATTTTTCCCCATTCCGAGAGTACTTACAAGGTTGATTTTGCCCCTTCTCTGGTTTCTTTATTGACAAAAATATTGAAAAACCAAGTTTTCTTTATCTTCTCTAAGAAGATAGATTTTCCTTTCCAGAATCATTCTAATAACTCTTTCTTGCATCTTGTTCAATTTAAACTCTTGTATTTTTCTCTTCTTTTTAACATAGGTTGCCAGAATGGTCTCAAGCAGTGAGGGATATTTAAAACCTGACCTCTGGCTATATACAGCAATCAATAATTTAGATGGTCTGTACTGAAATATTGCCATTGCCTGCAGAACTCCCTTCACACAGAAAGTAGTAAACTCTACTCCACAGCTTTCCTTGTAGTTGGAGAAGAAAAAAAAAAAAAAAAGAAACAAACCAAAACAATTCACTTTTTTTTTTAATCAAACGTCATATAGAAAATGCAGCTGTTAGTCCAGTGATTTTCCTAAGGCTTAGTCAAGATCAATTTCAATCACACTGAGTATGGGATATATTTATCATCTTTGCTGCAGCACTTGCAGGTAATAAGCACTCGGCCACCACCTCAGCCTCACTGGAAGTCACTTAGAGACTGGTCTGAGCAAAAAATCACTCAAGTTTTAGCTTAAACCCAGAGCCTGAGTTTGGGTTTAGGCTAACCAATATATTTGTGTCAGAACAGGAGAATGAACAAAAGCAACATGGAAAAACTGATTGATTTTATTCTGTCTTGAAGATATGTACAGGTAAATTTTCTGTTTGTTATGTGATCCTCTCACAGATAAGATGGACTCCAGGGAATCCTCACCTGCTCCACTGGAAAAGACATATGAGCATAGGTTTTAACTTTATGCAGAAGGAATCTAATAAATAATTAAAAAACTAAACAAACAGTCCAAACAAAAATTTTATGACAGTTGATTTTTGTTGCCTGTTTTCCCTTCCTGTAGTACTACACGGGATGAAGAGGACTATTGTCCTTAGACTCTAAAATTCCCAGAAGACTGATGACTTTCTGTTGCACATTAGTACAATGGTCAGTGCAGAGTTCTTCTGGATTATAGGGCCATACAAATACTAACCACAGTCAAGAGGAAGAGCATTCTGTTTATGCATCCTTTCAGTCAATCTGATGCCAAGCAGAAGACCAAGAAAGCTGTTGCCCTCTAATGATAAAAAAAAAAAAACCAATTTGGTTTTCTTACTGTAAGGATACTGTGTAGTTGTTTACTCTCCTTTCAGCCTCTTAGAAATTCAACACTGACTAACCCAACTTCTCCCACCAGATATTGCTACACTTGCAGTAGTCACTGCTCTAATAAACGCATGAGGAATTATCATAGCTCTCATTGCTTCAGTTGAGTTCCATTGGATATTTTATGACAGTCAGAAAACTGTGTGCAATACTTATTACACATTAAAACGGGAGGGAGAGAAAATTGAGCAGCCATGAAGAGGATAATATCCCTTTTGTGCTGAATCACTTCACTCCTCACATCAGACAGTAGATTTCACAAGCAGCCATGATATTATTAGATAGAGGGAATCTCACAGGACCAATTGAGCTCTGCATTATAGAAACGTGGAAAGATGAGAAAAGAATTCCAATATTCTCACTCTTGAATAAATATTTGCAAAAACATACTAGAAATGTGAGCTCGTGACTTCCAGAGGCTTTTTTTATTTGGTGCAGCTTCAGATCTAGCTTCTCCAGTTTACTTCACTTGAAAAGAGACCCCTAGAAACTATGTAATGTATTGAAAGTAACTCCACTGACTAACTATGGGCTTCAGGCACGTCTACTTTCATCTCTGTCAGACAGCCTTCGCAAGCCCCCTTCAGTCCATCTAAGACCCACAACACACCCAGACACAGGCAACATTGCTCCATGAAAACACAGGCATTGAACAATGAAGGTTCAGTGGCCTAGCTGGCTTGAGGTGATTTCCAAATAACACAGTAGCTAGAGTGAAGCAAATCAAGCACCAATCCTGAGGCAAAGAATGGAGCAGTAAAGAGGCTAAACTTCTCAAAAAAAAAAAATAAGGTGTAATTGAAAAAGATTTAACTACTGCTTCAGCCTGTATCTGCAGCAGTGTGCTGCCCTTGGGAATTGAGGAGGGAATGCAGAGGTCGTCTCTGATTATGGCTGGTTTTGGAGGCACTACTACTTTTATCAGATTTGCTCTTCCTTGAACACAATAGTTTTGCTACAAATTATACTGGAGAGAATTTGAGAAGCTCTGCCCTCCATATAGAATATAAAATATAAACAGAACTTTAAAAAAAGTATTAACACTGATCGGTTATTGGTAGGCTAAAGAGGCTAAAGAAGAACCAGTCTAGCAGCAGCTGTAAAAAGAGCCTAGTGCTGCCAAACACTCAAAAATAGATGACTAGATGGCTCAAAAATACGCTTTTGACAAAGCAATCAAAATTTTCAGAGCATATTTCAGAGCATAAAAAATGCAGTGAACAACCTACATGGGTGTATAATCAGTGAATGTACAGATGTTACAATTATGAAATATACCAGAGAGTTTGGCTAAGCAGTTATTATATCAAAAGAGAAGAGATAGAATGCTTAGCTGTATCCTGGGCTCACTGCAAAACTCCAGAGGAGGGATCTCCAGAAGAGATCCTTCCCTACTGGTCTTAAATGGGTCTAGGAGAGATGCAGCCAGGCTCCACCCCTTCCGGCTGCACAGGTGAATTGCCTTCACCTGTGCTCCTGTGGCTGACTCATTGCTCGCCTCAGGTGATCAGAGATTCAGGCTTTGATTCAGCAGTTCCCATACAATGGGATAAACAGAAGCCCAGCTCTTTAGAGATAGCAGGGAATCTAAAACACTGCAAGAAAAGGGTAAAATACACAAGAAAAGAAAATCCACACTTGTAAAAGAGACAAAATACCTGAGGCAGACAAGCATATGGAGTTCAAGCTGGAGTATACAAAAAGCATTACATGGAGCTGCAGGCTCAGTTTGAAACATCAAGGGCCAAGATAATGCATTCAGAAAAAGATGGATTATAAACACCAGACTGCAAACCACCAAGGAATGTGCACAGAAAGACACACGGGGCTGTCACAGCACCTTAACTCCCACGGTCTTTAATTAGAACAAAAACGTGTCGAGGAAAACAAATGGATTGTTCATACAAAAGCATCAGTTCCAGGAAAAAGTTATATTAAAATTAAAACTTAAAAGAAGTTACAGTTCTAATTAAGAGAGAAAAAGAAAAAGAGAGAGAGAAAGAAACAAAAGAGCAGAAGAACAAAAGTCCAAAGGAGAAAAAAAAAAAAAAAAAAGGAAGAACAAAAGAACTAACAAAAGAATGCAAGAAAGAAAGAAAAGAAGCTGGTTATCCTACCATTAAAGAAATAAACGGTTACCTGAGTATATAATTAACTGGCAAACATAATACTTCGTAATAAATAATACCAAGGAAAATGAACTCATTCTTATGTTAAAGAAAAAAAGGAAGAAAGGAAAGACATATTTTTGGCACGATCAAGAAGGGTATTAAGCAGTTTTAAGAAGAATAATTTAAGTCTTCAAGAAAAGAGAGAAGTTTAGTGGACTGAACGTAAAAAGCACCCAAGTATCACAAGTCTTGTAGCTGCAGGACAGCACTCTGCAGCCCAGAAGAGAGGCCAGATAGATTGTTTGTAAACCACCATCTCAGGTGCATCACAGCATTTTCCGTCAATTAAGGAATTCAGAGAAAAACTTTCGACAGCTTAAATCAGCAGTAATATTCATGCATATGAGTGGAT